GAGATAGTGAGTTGGTGGGTTTTTGTTAAATGTGAGCCAAAATCATCACAATTAAAAGAACCAAAGACTTAAACTACTTCAGTCTGTGTGCATTGAATTGATTTAATACACGAGTTTCACAATTTGAGTTGAATTACTGAAATAAATGAACTTTTCCACGACATTCTAATTTATTGAGATGCACCTGTATATTCATATTGTATATTCAATATTGATTCCTATTATAATTATATTAATACATATGATCACATGGTTCGTTTTTCATAGAACTGCATTGTAACTGCATTACTGCTGTTACGTATTCGGTCCATGAACTTCCGTTGACCTTCGCTAGCCCTAGGATTATTCTTGTGTCTTGCCCGCCATATACCTGTTTGCCATTGTTCGACCCTGCCTGTGTTTCTGACCTCTCTGCTTTAATAAAGCTTGCACATGGATCTGCATGTCTCACGTCTTGTCAGCCCCGTAACAACTGCACACATTTTTTTAAATTTAATTTCTGTGTTATCCAACTGCATCTCACAGATTCTGTCAATAGCGCTTAACTTCTATTGAATCTGTAAGATTCCCTTTTTCCTCCTTTTAAAGAAAATTAACTGCTGACATTTCAATTAATTAAATCATGATGACGTACAGTATGTACAGTGCAAACATCTTGTACCATTGTCAATTTAAACTGCAGTTATAGGGCTGACCTGTGCATGTATGTTTATGTGAGAGATTTTAAAGGAAGAGGAGGATTTGCAAATGTGTGGCTTGCAGACTCGTGTGTAATTCAGCGCAGTATTGATCATGCTACAGGACTGTCAGGTCAAGGAATTCCGCCTCCACACGCACCGCAAATGCACAACACACAAACAAAGCATGGGCCTCTAGTGAGATGTGTGTGGTTTAATGTTTTAAATGCTGCCCAGATGCTCTGCGCATAAAGGAAGGATATTAAATAAATAAAAGGAAAGAGGATGAATAATCCTGTTAAAGATCAAACAACTCCCTCTCCTTCTCTCCCCTCTACAGTGCTCATGGGAAATAAAATGCACACACACACAAATGAAAGCGCATATAGAACCAAATGACAGTGGTATTCCCTAGTCACAACAATAAATGACTGCATTTACCTGTGAGGAAAGATTAAAGGGAGAAGAGGACAACAAACGTGAATGTGAAGAAAAAAAAACATGTTGATGTTGCCATTACTGATAATGCTGACTAGTTTTCAACAGCTAAAGCTTGGATCACTATTACTATTAGGGTTCTAAATGAACTCTGTTCTAAATGATTAAACTTTGTTACTACTAAACAAAGTATTGAACTTTGGCACGTAACTCATCCTGCACCATTTGTGCTGCGGACATAAATTGTTCAGATTATTGAGTAGAGGTGTGTTATTATGTAATATATTTTCTAAGCCGGATAGACATTTTATGATTACAAATAAATGTGGAAAAAAAATCCCAGAATTACAATGAAGGAGGGCGCTGTGTCATATCTAGAGACCAGAATATTATAGAGACTTTTTTGACTTACCCAGAACCCCCCTAGCAACTGCATCGCAATAGGCAAAAGAACACTTAAAACACCTTAGCAATAGTGAAGTCCTGGCAATTGCTCACAACATGGATAGAAAAATCAAGGTTCATGACTATTATTACTATTATTATTATTTGAATTGTTTCTGAGCAAGTGAATTAAATGCATAAAAAAATAAAGGTGTAGATAAAAAGAGAGATAATCTTACTTGATAATCATGCAATCTTCTCTCTGTGTACTTGTTTCTGATCGTTTGAGGGAATCACTCATCTTCAAGGGAGCTCTCTCTCTCTCTCTCTCTCTCTGTGTGTGGTTGGGTGGATGGAGGTGGAGAATTAGTTTAAGTGGGTTTCTGATGCTTAGATAAGAACCTTGTTAAAATGCTTCACTACAGAGTTTCCATAACTACAGACGCATTTCCAAGCAGTGAGGTCATGATTAACACATCAGATTGGTGTTTCGCCCTAGAATAAAATGGCTACATGTAGAAAAAATGAAGAAGAAAAAAAGAATAGAAAGAATGAGTAGAATAAGAATAATTCTGTCATCATTTATACACCATCATGTTGTTACAAACATGATTGATTGTTTTTCTTCACTGCAACAGCACAAGACATGTTTAGGGTAATATTCATGCCTTTTTTCCCATACAATTACAGTAAATCATGACTGATGAGCTCCAGAAATATTAAAAATAAGGCAAAAAAGCACAATAAAACTACATTTCGGGTCTTCTGAAATAAATGCAATAGCTCTATGAACTGTAAAAAATAGTGACCTGCAATTGTCACCTTAAGGAGCTATTTCTACCTGATCTAACCATTAAATTCAGTTATGTTGGTGTAACATATAATATTTAGGTTGATTAAGTGATGTTAGATAATTATATTACTTAATTATATTTTTACATTGATTATAAAAAAATAGATTTTACCATATGAAGAACTTTATGTTAACAGTTTTCTGTGTGTGAGGAAAATACAAAAATGATTTGTTATTCTTAAAAAAGTTTCTTGCCCCTGGTAACTGACTGCAAGAGCATCTTGGACATTTTGCAGGATTTCTTTGTTTCCCACAGAAACAAACAAACAAACAAACAAACAAAACAGGTTAGGAACCATATTAACAATTAATTTTATCTATTGTGAGAACCATTCCTTTAATGAAACAGAATTTATCTGAAATGTCAGAATCAGGGGCGTAGCCATCATTTCAGAAGTGAGGGGGACAGAAATGTTATATATATATAAAAAAATATAATAATAATAATATATATATATATATATATATATATATATA